AGGGCGACTCTCAACACGGTCGCCGACGCGTTGTCTCGACGAAAGCGCCATCTTCTCGGAAAACGGTTGCTTTGGTACCGCCGTATGAGGGCGCGGTAGCCGCAGATCCCGCCGCCTGGCCGGACTACGCCATCCAGCAAGGCCAGCTCCTCCGCCCACTCCTGCACGAGCTGGATTTTCGCGAAACACCGGCGGAGGAGCAGTGGAAGGTATGCGTGCCTCGAGAGCAACGCGCCGAAATCCTTCGCCAGCTCCACGACGAACCCACCGCCGGCCACTTGGGATAGCGAAGACGATCGCCCGCGCGGCCCGCCGGTATTATTGGCCCGGAATGTTCCGGATGTAGCCCGACATGTCCGGGCCTGTGAGACCTGCCTCGCTATAAGGCGACACAGGTCAAACCCGCGGGCCTTTGCGGAGCGGTATTGGCAGGTTCCCCTGTCGGCCGCAAGCCGCCCCTTGACTGCGTTTGCCGTGCCGGGGCGAGGATTAATGCAGTTTCGAGTAATGCCCTTCGGTCTGCACTCCGCACCCGCCACGTTCCAACGGCTGCTGGATGGCATACTCGGCCCTGAGCTCGAGCCCCACGTACTCGTCTATCTAGACGATATCATTATCGTGAGCCGGACCTTCGAGGAACATATCGCGCGGCTCGGGGAGGTCTTCCGGCGACTCCGGGAAGCGCGACTGCGCCTCAATACGGAGAAGTGCCGTTTCTGTGTGGTACCTGGGGCATATCGTGGACCGAGAGGGTATCCGCACCGACCCAGAAAAAGTGAGCGCGATATCGGAATGGCCGGCGCCCACGACCGTGCGAAAGGTGCGGCAGTTCCTCGGGCTCGCGTCGTGGTACAGGCGGTTCATCCCCGGGTTCTCCGCGCTAGCCGCCCCGCTCACGCGACTCACCCGGAAGGATGTGAAGTGGAGGTGGGGCGCGGACGAGGACGCCGCGATGACCGCACTGAAGAAGCGGCTGACCACGGCACCGGTACTCGCGTGCCCCGATTTTCGGGAGCCCTTCCAGCTGCAGACGGACGCAAGCGCGGAGGGGCTGGGAGCCGTCCTCACGCAGCGGCTGGAGGGGGCCGAACGCGTGATCGCGTACGCGAGCCGAACGTTAAATCGCGCCGAGAAAAATTACAGCGCGACCGAGTTGGAGTGCCTCGCCGTAGTCTGGGGAATAAGGCGAATGCGCGACTACCTGGAGGGCTATCGTTTCACGGTGATCACAGATCACCAGGCCCTCCGGTGGCTGCGCAGCCTGGAGACACCCATCGGGCGACTGGCCCGCTGGGCCCTCGAACTACAACAGTACGAGTTCGAGGTGCAATACCGGCGAGGCGCTCTCAACACGGTCGCCGACGCGTTGTCTCGACGACCCGAGGTAAGCGCCATCGTCTCGGAAAACGGCTGCCCTTGGTACCGCCGTATGAGGGCACGGGTAGCCGCAGATCCCGCCGCCTGGCCGGACTACGCCATCCAGCAAGGGCCAGCTCCTCCGCCACATCCTGCACGAGCTGGATTTCCGCGAAACACCGGCGGAGGAGCAGTGGAAGGTATGCGTGCCTCGAGAGCAACGCGCCGAAATCCTTCGCCAGCTCCACGACGAACCCACCGCCGGCCACTTGGGGATAGCGAAGACGATCGCCCGCGCGGCCCGCCGGTATTATTGGCCCGGAATGTTCCGGGATGTAGCCCGACATGTCCGGGCCTGTGAGACCTGCCTCGCCTATAAGGCGACACAGGTCAAACCCGCGGGCCTTCTGCACGCCACCGCGGTCAAGGGCCCGTGGGAGCAGGCCACCATAGACCTGATGGGCCCTCTGCCGCGGTCGACCGGCGGCCACGCGTGGGTCATCGCTATGCAGGATCGCTTCTCCAAGTGGCTAGAGATGCGACCGCTCCGAAAAGCGACAACGGGGGCAGTGGAGCAGGCGATCACCGAGGGCATCATGCACCGACACGGCTGCCCCAAACAATAGTGTCCGATAACGGGAAGCAATTTCGGTCCGAGCAATTCGCAAGATTCTGCGGGGCTCACGGCATCCGTCACCGCACCACCCCCATCTACGCACCGCATTGTAATCCGGTGGAGCGGACAAACCGTGTAATAAAGACCATGATCGCTCAGTTTGTGGGGAAAAACCACCGCAAGTGGATACCCACCTCTCCGCGCTGCAGTTCGCGTACAACTCGGCCGTCCAGGACTCAACGGGATACAGCCCGGCCTTCCTGCTCAGCGGGCGGGAGTTGAGTTCCTGGCCGGAGACCCGTACCGCCGCTCCACCGGAAAGTCGCCGCCGACAGCTCGAGGACGCTTACGAGGTCGTCCGTGTAAATTTGGCGCGAGCTTTTCAACGCCAGGAGCGCTATTATAATTTGCGACGGCGCTCCTGGCGGCCTACGATAGGGGAGACAGTATGGCGACGCGAGCATCCCCTATCGGATAAAGCGCGAGGCTTTAACGCCAAGCTCGCGCCAAAATACTCCGGGCCGTACGAAATCCGGAAGATAATCTCGCCGGTAATCGTCGATCTCCGCGCTAAAAACGGCAAGTGGTTGCGAAATATACATATACAAGATTTGAAGTCGGGTAACAATAACGAAAAGCCACAGGACGCGGAGGTCGACAACCCGGAAGGGGAAACCGAAACAACGGCCCGGGGTATAAAACGACGGCCTCGAGCAGCAAAGCTCACATCTTCTCGAGCTGTCGCCGCGCGATAAGCCGAGAAGTTTTTGGCAAGCGCAAACGCAAGCACAATAGCTAGCAATGAGCGAGCCCCGAGGAATCGAGATCGAGGATCTCACCGTCCTGTGGACGGATCTCGCCCTCTCCGACGACGAGGAGAGGGCCTCGGCCGCCCCGCCGCCGTCGACGTCGCCACCACCAGCGACGCCACCGCCGACGTCACCGCCAACGTCACCGCCGACGTCACTGCCGACGTCACCGCCGCTACCACCAGCGAGCACACCGCCGCCGTCGCCGAGGCCACCGAACCCCCAAGTTCCGGCAAGGGGGACCGGATACAGCGGTCCGACACGACGCAGCGCCGTAAGGCAATTATCCTTACGGCTCCGTTGCCCCCACCACCCGGGCGCCGAGGACGCCAGCCCAAGACGCTGGCAGCGACGACAAGGGCTACCACCCGCCCCACACGGCCGCCGACGACTCCGCCGCCGCAACGACCGCCGCCGCAGCAACGGCCACCGCCGCAACGACCGCCGCCGCAGCAACGACCACCGCCGCAACGGCCGCCGCCACCGCCACAACGGCCGCCACCACCGCCGCAACGGACGCCGCCGCCGCAACGAGCAGCAGGGACGCCTCTCCTCCCGACGACGCGACCACCCTCGGGTCCGACCCCCGTCCGACCGCCGAAAATACTCCGACCGGTCGGCCCGAGGCCACCGCCGCCGGTCCTCGTCGAGGTGGAGCCCGGGGTCCAAAAGCTCGTCCCCCACGCGGCCGTCACGTTAGCCGTCGATACCGCCTCCGAACACCTGAGGGACGCTGGATGCTGCGCTTTCACGCGGACGGCCAGCTCCGGTCCAGCCGCCGCCTACCGGACGACCCCTCTGCTAGGGGGGTGATGTAACGAGGCGCAGATGCACCTCGTTACTACCGGCCCGACCGACCACCTGTCGGGCCGAAGAACGGCGCTTTGCGCCACCATAAATTAACGAAGACGATCGCGCCGCCGTTATCACGCGCCGCCGCTATCGCGCGCCGCGGCGATCACGCGCTGCCGCTAGCGCGCGCGGCCGCGATCACGCGCCGTCATCGTGCCTCGCGCCGATAGGCGCGCCGCTCGATCGCCGCCGTATCAATCGTAGCGCGAACAACTATAAAACGGCGGCGATCGAGCTCCTAGAGACCAGACCGATCCGTACCGCCGATTCGATCTAGACGCTTGTATGCCGAAAGAGAGAATATCCGGACCGTTTCGCTCTGCCTTCCGCTTTCCGACTACCCGACCGGCGACTAAGAACACGGGATTGTGCGTCCGCAGTCTCGATCGAGCGTTCTCGATACTTGGCCGTCTCCCGTCTTCCTGGGCTCGTGTGTACGCGTGCTCAGTCGAGCGTACTCGACAGTATCTCGCCTTTACCCGCCGCCTCGAGTCAGGGGTTCGTCCGTCGGCGAACTCCGCTGAGCGTACTCAGCCTTTAGGCGATCCGTCTAGCGACCAGGAACCCGGGACGGTGTGTTCGCCGTCTCCGCTGAGTGTCCGCAGCACTTGGTCGCTTTCCTCCACGAACGTAGGGAAAAGGGAAGGTGCGTACGCCTTCTCTGTCGAGAGTCCTCGGCCCCGACGGACGAAATCATCTCGCGTCTCCCGCGACTCGCGTGCGTGCGTTCGACCGAGAATCGAAATCTCCGGTCCGGCGACCATTTTTACGCGAGCAATTCCGAAGCGAGTATTGGGCGATAATTGTCCGAGACGCCCAGCGTCGCGAAGCGAGACCGAACACCGCGCCGTTACCGTCGTTACGATCGACACGCGTCGCGCAATAGGCCCCGCCTTCCGCACGGCCTATCCGTTCGTACGAGCGCTCGCACCGCTCACCGCACCGCACCGTACCGTACCGACGCGCCTTACAAACGCAACCCGCGACATCGCCTTCGGGGCCGACCTCTTGTATCAAATTAAATATAGAATAAAGCTAACGTACTACTCTCGAACGTCTCGCTGCTTTCCTCCTCACCGAACCCGGACTCCGACGAGCCTTATCCGCGCGAAACGCGTAGCAGCGACCGAACCGCGGAGTTCGGCCGTTACAAAGCAAAAGGAGCAAAAGCAACGTATCAACGTATAAAGCACAATAAAGAAACTGAGAAACAGAAATTAGAAAGGTTACAAAAGACACGAGATTATAAAAATATTCGCAATCAAACTATAAAAATAATAAATTCTAATCAGTAGTCAATTAAAAGTGCAACAAAATTATAAAAGACAAAAAAATTATAAAGAAAATATAGAAAAAATGCGCGCTAAAAAATGTAAATTATATCATGAAAACTATATAGAGGAACGTTGTAAAAAACGTGCACGTTATTGTAAAAAGCGGGAACAAGAAACACAAATTAGATTTTATAATAATTATCTTGAACGTAAAATATTAATAGCAAATATTATAAAAAAACTAAATATCATTATACATTAAGAAAATTAGAAACAGTTAAAAATATTATTAAAAAATATGATAAAATTCGTAGTTTCTTGAATTCTATAACAACTTTTGGTTCAACGGAAAATTATATTACAAATATTTCAAAAACTATTAATATTAAGTGTCATATAAAAAGAAGAATTGAAGCTGAAAATATAGTACGTTTGTGTATATGTTATAGAAATGATCATATTAATAATATTTCAAAAATTTTGTGTTTACTTAAAAATAAATCAGAAGTATGTTTGACTCTTGCAGATAAATGTTTCACATTTGATGAAAAAATTGACTCTTTATGTGGAAAATCAAGACATACTAATTCATCTAAAAATTATTTTAGCGAATCCACGTATAATCAAATAATTTCATCTAAATGTTTGATAACAAACGTAGAGGGACAAGTTATTAATGTATTACCTTTAATAACATCAAAAGCAAAAATGTCATGGTTATGTAATGAATATTGTAAAATTGATTCATGTATTATTGCACAATATCAAAAATTTCTAAAATCAATTAATTCCTGTACCTTAAGATATGTACCAAAATTAATAAAAAATATAAATAAATGTACGGTAAAAATTTCAAATATAAAATTAGAACATGTACATAGTTGTTTTATTGACCCAACTATTTGTAAAGCAATGTCTCTTCCAATACAATTATTATCGCCTCATTTCCCGAAGGTAAGATATATGAGACGTTTAATATATCAATTAACAAATAATTATCAAAAAATGTTAAATGTAAATAGAGCATTATCTTCCGTTGATTTAAATACATTGAATAAAATTGCAAATTTAGTAAAAGAGAAAACAATAACATATAAAAATAAACAAAATATTATGAGTGTTGATGATATTATTTCTAAATATTCTTGTGCATTTAGTGCTCTGACTAAACGTTCAATGGATATACCTCGAAATGTTTGTATTTCATGTAAAAGACTTTGTTATAGAAGAAATGTTCGTGAAATTAACAAGCTTAAAATATTAATAAACAATTTACTTTGGAAAGATATAATAGCACATAGTGAAAAACAAAATATTAATATGCAATATATATGTATCTATTGTTTAGAAAAAATTCGTAAAAATATAATGCCTGCATGTTGTATTTTAAATAAAAATCTAGTTGTGCATGATGTACCTGAAATAATATCGTCTTTAAACACATTTGAAAAGATTCTTATACAAAGAGCTAAAGCATTTCAAACTGTTCTTAAAGCAGGTACTGTTAATAATAAAAAGTTGCCTCAAAGCCAAGTGATACAAAAGGTTAAAGGTAGAACATTTCATTTGCCAATTCCTTTACAGAAAACATTGGATCAAATATGTTCTTATACTGATCCAATAAATATGAAACATGAATTATATATGATATTTTAGTTAGAGGTATTCCAACTAAATCTAAAATTATTTGGGAAGATATAGTAAATGTCAAAAAAGTGTTTGAAGCATTAACATGGTTAAAAGAAAATAACCCATTGTATTCTCAAATTATATTACCAAATACACATAATGACTTTTATTTAAATAAATTAAATGATCCGAAGTTTGAAATACACAAAGAAGATGATGATATTGACGTTGGTTTAGACAATGAAAATGTATCAATGTTAACTCAAGTTATTGATGAACATGATAGTTATTACGAACAATATACTATATATCCTCTATATGAAAAAAAAGTAAATATTTCTGCGACAGCACTATATCAAATGTTAAAAGTGAGGGATTTACCTTTAGATAATCGCGAAAAGAAATTAGATTTATTATGTTTTCCGGATTTATTTCCTTTTGGAATTAATGGACAACATGAAAATAGAAAGGTTAAATTACAAGATTACGAATTTATTAAATGTCGTTTAACTTCAAAACGTCCACAATATAGATTAAATCAACAATATTTATTTTATTTACTAAATGATGCAAATATATTAGGAGCGCAAAAAAGTTCTGAGCCTTTTTTTGCAAAATTCAAAATTTATTTAAAAACAAACAAAACTATATTAATCAACGAAATATTTCCCGTTTGCATCGATGATCTTTTGCCATCTTTCGGGCAGCTTGCGAATTCCCTAATGGTAGAAGTTCACCGGCTTCGAGGCGATAAAGTCATCAATGCATTTTCGTATCTCTTCAAGTGTCATAAAATGTGTATCAGCCAAGAAATGCTGCAGAGACCGGAATAGGTAGTAATCGGAAGGCGCCATGTCTGGGCTATACGCCGCGTGTGGGAGAAGTTCCCAGCCTAACGCAAAGATATGGTCCTGAGTCACTTTCGCAACATGTCATCGGGCATTGTCATGAAGCAGTATCACTTTACGACGTCCTTTGCCAATAAATGGCCTCTTTTCTTCAAATGCATCGCTCAAATTACTCAATTGTTGCTGATAGCGATCTGCCGTTACTGTTTCACCCTGCTGTAACAACTCGTAATACAATACACCTTTCCAATCCCACCATATGCAAAGCAAAACCTTCTTGATGTGGATATTGGTCTTTGGCGTCGATGTCGAAGGTTGACCAGGGTCAACCCATGATTTTTTACGCTTCGGATTATCATAAAGTATCCACTTTTCATCACCTGTAATGATTTGGTGCAGAAAATCCTTTTTCCGGAACCTTGAAAGCAAAGTGAGTGCCGTGTTATGCCGTCGATTTTTGTTGTCTTCGGACAGTGCATGCGGAACCTATCTGCCTTCCTTTTGAACTTTTCCCATTGCACGTGTAAACGTGTGGAAATGGCTTGTCGCGTAACGCCAAGTTGCTCTGCAAGCTCCTTTTCAGTTTGTGCAAAGTTTATATCCAACAATGCTTGCAGTTTGTCCGTTTC